GCTTGAAAAATGGTGAAATCGAGGGTCCCTATGCCTGAGGACAGCATCTCTCCCAGTCCCCCTTTCCTTTGGGAAAGCCGGCGTGGGGAAGCTCCCCACTCCTACACCCCAAGGGTGGGGAGAGCCAGGAGCACCCCGCTACATCCTGCACTGCCCGGAGGAGCTGGAGAAGGAGATCCATTGGGTATGGACACCTCCGAGGACTTCTGTGATCCTACCTCTGCATTTCTGCCTCCAGAGGGAAGGGAGCTTGTTTTTCCAAAGCCGAGGGGGGTCATCCCTGCCTTTGGATCATGGCTTTATCTCTGTGAGTCCCAGAGTAAAGCTGCCCAAGCCGGCAGGCGGGGAGATGAAGGCATTTGATCGGATTAAAGATTCTGAGAAATCAGATGGGCTGAAAGGGGCAGAGCTGCTGGAGGCAGTAACGGCATCCCGGAGCGAAAACTCCTTTCTCGGGGTGGTCTGTGCCTCTTTGACAGCTTTCTCTGCTGTATCTGAAACTAACGGGCAGCACTAGCACAGTAACTGCTTTGTTACGGGCCAAGCAGAGGACATCTGCTCTCCCCTCCCTTCTTGCCTAGTCATTCTTTCTTGCTGGAAGATGCCCTGGGGCTTTCCGAGTTGTTATTTTAGCAGTGTGCTTCTGGGTTACGCTTTGCTAGATGTATAGCAAATACATCTTGCCTGTGTGTACAGTTCATGTTTTTAATGTGATTTCTTCTTGCCTGACGGAGGAATGTGAAGTCCAGAAATTCTCCCAGGAAAGGGGTGGCAAAAAGTTAATGTTTCTCATTCAGAGACCTTTTCTGTCAGGGAAACAACTGAGGGGCTGGGCAGCAGCGTTGGTCTCGGGGCAAAGGGGTTTTGTTGCTTGGTGGCTGCTTTGTTCTGGACAGCTGAGCTTGGGAGTTGAAACAAAAGTTGCTTAATCCTCTCAAACTGCCTCGCAGCGTTACTGAGACTTAGTGCTGAGCAGCTTGCCTGTCTGTGCTCAGCTCTGGGTGCTTATCAGTGCAAATCCCTCTGCAGAGTGAGGGACAGAAGGGTTCTCCAGCACAGTGCCCAGCGAAGAGCTGTGTTCCTCAGCCATCTCCACCTGTGAGTAATGGAGCTGCATTGATGCAGAATGTGATTGCCCTGGTCCCAATCTGTGGAAAAACAGCCTCAAGTCATAGCCCGTCAAACCCAGGAGCAGGCATCATCTGCTTAGATGCCTGGTGGCTTGTCACAGCGGTGTCAGTGCTGGAAGGCATCTCGTCCAAACATCTGGCACACCATGAAGGGCACACGAATCATCCAGAGACTGCAAAGCTGTGTGGAATCGAAGCCAAGTTCCCTTTCAGCTTCACATGTTGGACCAAATAGGATCGTGTTTGCACCGATTTTGATCCCTGCTTAGCTTGGGGTGTTTCTCTGTGTGTTCTTGATGCTGCTGCTGTAGAAGGTGACCGGGCTTTGGGGCAGCTGACAGGTTTTTGAAACACGATTCTGGGACTTCAGAAGGGTAAAGAGGTTGTGTACAGGGGCTTGTACTGCCGTCTTTGTGCCGAAGACCCTGTCTTCACAGTGCCACTCCAGTGTTTTCTGGGCTGGCTCTCGCAAAGCAGCAGCTTCAGCCCGCTCCCCTGTGATAATTCACAGTGTCACAGCCAGTTCTGTGCTGATGGTTGGTAATTATGCTTTTTCCTTTTTTTTTTCTTTTACCAGCTGCCCCTTCCTTGCCAGTCACCTCACCTTGGCCATCCCCATCATTGCAGCCGTCCTCTTCTTCTTTGTCATCAGCTGCCTGCTCCAGACAAGCTTCAGAGATCCAGGTATCCTGCCCAGAGCCACCCCAAGTGAGGCTGCAGACCTGGAAAAGCGGATCGGTGAGATTTCTATTCCCTTTCCTGAGTTTGGTCTGGTGCATGCCTGTGTGTGTCTGTGTGTGTGCTGCACGTGTTTCAGGCTCAGTGAATCCCTGGAGAAAAGACCAGACTATCAGATCATGAGGCTTGACAGTGTCTTATGAGTCCCAGTAAGAGAATGTGACAAGCTCCTCTAGCGTGGCAGGCAGTGCTTCAGAGGATCTGCAGAGCAGCAGAGGTGGTTTTCCTTCAGTCCTGTCGCTTTCCCAGGCAAAGCCCTGTACAGTGGGTCACCCTGTGAGGAGCTCAGGGGAGGGACAGCTTGTGGCATCGATATCCCAAACATGAATTCCATTAGGGACTGTGTACCAGCCTGAAGTCCCCCTTCAGAATCGTGCTGCCAGGCTCTTGAAGACAGAGAGTGCCTGGGCTTCTCCCTAACGGTGCATTAGTTACTTTAAATATTGTCCAAACTCAGAGGAATCTCACCCTCTGTGTCCTTCTGCAAAATACGGGTGGTCAAGATGTAAGATAATTAATTTAGGGATGAATGCTTTTTAAGATTATGATTTGCCATTGAGCCTGCTGTGCCACAAGGTTTTATTTATGCTAATGGTTTCTAATAGTATGCAATGTTTGTTCCCATCTAAAAACTGCTATGTCACGCTCTTTTTGGTGGTGGCATCCAGGATCTGTGGACCTTGTTGATGTGACCCGTAGTAACAAATACTTCAGCAAAGCTAATGTGAGACAACTCGAATCTGTCCCCCTGAAGACAGTTGCAAAGCAATAATTCTACATCTGACTAAAAAAATGGGTTTAATATATCCTCAGAGTGGTTCTCCTTGTTTCTATTTATAAGTGCCTCAAGCAGTAATCTGGCTGCAGATGCTGTCTGATGTGCCAGCTGTTACTGTTAATATAATACACTTATCCTCTTAACATTCTCACTGTTAATCTCAGGCATTTCCAAAGACTTCCTTGGAGTCCTAAGGTGCTCTTTCAAGAGTGACTTAAATAAAGGAATAACCCTCAAAACTGCAAATGTGATCAAAGTTTTCCAGCTCACACTTTTGCTGAGCAGAGAAAGAGTCTCCAGTGGCCGGTCCCCAATGAATAACAAAGTGCCAGCGCACACAGGTGTAACTTGCAGTGTCCCTAGAAGTCCTTAATTTTGACCTCCAGGAGGAGGAATCCTCTTGTGCTCCTCACATAAGACACATCAAATTTCAACGAAATCTGCCTGGAGCAGCTGGGACCTGCTCGCTGTCCTGCCCCACAGTGAGTCCCTTGAGCTGCTGGCTCCAGCTGTGGGTTGGCCAGTTGTGTGCTGGTGAGGGTGGGAGATGCTTCTGCTGGGGCCACCCTGATTTCTGTACCTTGGATGCCTACAGCAGAGGAAGAACCACATGTGCATTGGCAGATTATGTTGCCTGCTTGTGTTGTGATCCGTTAGACGTGTAGAGATGAGTTGGTGTTACTGGGAACGTTAACACTGCTGCTTTTACACTCGCTATTTATTAATGGCTTTATGTTTTCAAAGCACTGGGCAGATACTACTTCTTCTTGGCATCCCAGCATTGAACAGACAAGGAAAGGACCTAAATAATGCTGTGAGGAGCTGCCTGGAGTTCCTGGCTGCCCACCCTGCCACAAATCCTGTAGGCTGAGCTGCCTTTTGCTTAAAATCAGGAGGGCACGTGGCAATCCCTTAGCTTGCCAGGAGGCAGCTCGGGGTGATACTGGGGTTTAGATTTCACCTGCACCAGTTTGACTGTCCCTCCTTGTCCTTGCAGACAGCATGGGTACCTCTACCTATCGCCCGCCGGCCCGCACAATGGAAGTGGTCATAAATAAATATGTGGTGAAGCTCAAGTACTGCTACACCTGCAAAATGTTCCGCCCTCCACGCACCTCTCACTGCAGTGTCTGCGACAACTGTGTCGGTAAGCCCAGAAAGTGGGAAAGTGCTGATATCTCGTGTGTTTGTGTGTTAGGGAATGTTTTATGTTCCTGGGCAGATTGCTTTTGCTACTTGTAAAGGATTGTAAAGTGAGATACTGAGTAGTTTTTCTTCTTCCCATTTAAAATGAAAGCAGCACCAGTGCAGTGGCTCAGGGTGTGACGGCAGCCTGTCCAAGACTCCGTGTCTCTGCTTTCCCTGGTTCTAGGAGGGTGGTACTGTGAAATGTACTTAAGGTCTCCACCAAACACAAGGTTTGCTGCAGGCTCCTTGTTGTCTGTGGCCTTGCTGTTGCCAGGCTGGTAGAGATGCCACCATAAATGCTGTCTGAGGTCTTCTGTGTCCTCTCTCCATGCTGGGGCAGGAGGGAATGAAACAAAACCTGAAGAAAAGCCTCTGATGGCTCCACGCAGGCAGGTGCAGGCGCAGGGCAGCTGCAAAGAGGTGGACAGGGAGGTTCCTGGCTGTGCCAGAGCAACTTGAACTGGCAGCAGGGTGGCATGTGATTTAGGGGCATGCCTGGAGAGTTTACTTCTCATACAGCTGCTCCTGGGTGTGCATCGTGTGGATGCAGAGGCTGTGCTTCTTGCGGTCTTCCAGCCTGAGAAGCAACCGACCCGCGAGCAGTCACGGGACACCAAGGCTCTGGTTAAGAGAAGAAGTTTGGGAGCTGCCAAGTGTTATGTGTTTGGGGATAGCTGTGGGTGGCTGTGACTCCTCCTTACGCTGGAATGGCTCTCTGGAAAGCAGCCATGGTTGAAGAGGAGCTGTGTGGGGGAGCGGGCGTGCGCCTGCTGTGTGTGCGGTGGGTTTTGTTCGCACTGGTGTGCCCCGCTGGATGGTTACCGCAGTCCTGTTAGTCTGACATGCAGCCCTTTCATTAGTCAGGAGTGTTTCCAGATATACTGCACCTGCCCTGCCTTCCCAGGCAGTTTCTGTGGTTTTAGAGGCATAGCTTTATAACTTTGAAAATTATTTTCTGCCCTGAAGAAGGAGAGGGGAGCTGACACGCAGAAAGGGAGCAGCGATGCGACGTGCACACACCCAGTGCTGCTGGGTACTGGAAAAACTGCCGCACTTTCCCTGCTCTCTTTCAGTCTTAGTAATGGTAGATGTTACCAGTCACAAGACTTGTATTTATGCAGGAGGAATGGTTTGGCCTTTGATGATAAAAAAGGGTATGTGAGCAGGCGGCAGCGCTGCTGCAGAGGGGCTCTGGTCACAGGGTGGTGGGTGGCAGCTCCATTTGTACCCCCTGGTTTTTGTTTTTCTCTCTGTCACGGGGTGCAATGCAGCAGG